GCATTTGTGCGTTTTGATTTGAGTACAACCAAACTTGATCGTCTCTTTTCTGTCATAGTTGACCGCAAATATGTCTTTATGAGCCTGAGACGTCAGGCCTAACTAACATCATAGATAGAGAAATAACGTTCTGCAACCTGATTTTTATCATCTCAAAATCAGCATTGCAGCTATGCTAGTAACACTGTGCTTTCACTATGATTTCATTTCTCGATAGATAGTTAATCAGTTTTTACCTGTTTCATCCCGTTTCTCCTCTCCCCATGACCCCTGGCTCCCTCACTTTGCTCCGCTCGGTTTTCAAAACTAATCAGTCTCAGTCGCTCTCGTGTCATCTTGTGCTGCATTCACTGCAGTCCGACATTGGAAAGTAGCGGTCGCAATTCTCAAATTATCCATAATTTATAAGCCTCGCCACCCCTAGAGCTAACTGGGGTGGCAGCTGGGGTGGCAAGGCTGTCATTTAGGGTGGCATTTGCCACCCTATGCCACCCCAGTAGATCCGCCTATGGGTATAGCCTTTGTAGTGATGTAGTTACTAAGACAAACAAAAGTCAATGAAAACCTGAAGCTTTTCATTGACATTTGAGGTGGGAAAATGTGCTGAATGAGCATGGTTGTAAATAGAGCATATTGAAAATCTAGGGCTGTTTGTCGGAAGGAAGGTAAATACTATTTAATTAAGTCCTTATTCATCAAAGTTAAATGATCAGCTGTCAGATTCTCAAGATCAAAATAATTTCCTTTTCCTCGTTCCACTAAAATGCTTTTGCAAATACAGTAAAAAAAGTTTAATTTTAACCTTATCAAAACATTGTTCTGAAAACCGCTTCATCACATCTCACTGCAGGGAAACTGAATATCTAGATCCAGTTTAGACTGGAATGTAAACTGAAACCCAGATCATTAATATTGAATAAGGGAAAATAAGCACTGAGCACATCAATTTCTTTCTCAGTAACCATATTTCTAATGTGGCTGTTGACATAAAATCCAGCTTAGATGTCAACAGAAATGCAAAAAAAAAAAAAAGACATCAATACAAATAATTGGTTATAAAGCTGTGAAATTTTTGTATGTGTGGATTAACTCCGTGTAAGTAAATTATCAAGTCTACAAAAATTGCTAGAAAAGGTTTTTTGGTAGTGAAATTCTGTTGTGTTAAAAAGTTGAAAATATGACCCATATTCCCACATAAATTGGTTTAATATTTATATGGTTTTCACACCTCATCCTATACATGCAGAGATTTAGTTCTGAAGTGGTTTGAAGTTCAGAAAATTAAACAGTTAGGTCTAGGAACTGTTTTTTTTTTTTTTTTCAGTTAACCAGCCAAGAATTTCTAAGTAGATGTATGCGTTCATCCTTCCCTCATTTTATACATATTTATATTTATCAAATGCTTTTTCAAATGGTATCCTCAGCCTTTGTTGTTGAATGTATTTATTTTATTCCTGCAATTGTACCTATCATGTTCATATGTATATTTATTCTTATTTAATGTTTTTTTTCCATTGATATCCAGATAAGTTGTTTTTTTTTCTCATCTGATTTTTTTTTTTTTTTACTGAAATGTCTGACATTGCCACATCACTTTTAATAAGTTTGATTAAGTTTTTTATTTGGCACCAGGCTCTTTCGTGTTCATAAAAGGTTTTTCATCTGATAAAATTGCTCATTGTTTTCATAAGAAAGGTAGTTGGTAATTCAAGATGCTCTTGAAGCTCTGTGTGTAATGAGGGGCCTAGGAAGGCGGGGGATGCTTTTTACCCAACTATAAGGAGTCTTTGACAATTTTAGTTTTTTTCTTTTCATAACTATGAGAAGGCACATTACATTTATTCAAATCAGGCTTATAACAAATGGGAGAAGTTGTGAAGAAAACTCTTATCACACTTTCAGTCTGGTGATAAGTGGAAATAAGGAACCAAATGCATCACCATCTTTTCCTGCCCTTACCTCAATAACGTCTTTCACTTGGCAACCATGATATTCTGAAGCACAAAACTGTGAAGCTCCATAAACCGAACATAAAGTGTACATTACCTAAATGAATTATACCTGTCAGTAGAGTTTTAAAACAATGTGCCGGTGTAGGCGCCAGATCTGCTCGGGTGGTCCGATCTGCTTGGACCCTGTGCATGGTACTGACATTATGCTATATGATTGGGTGAACCTTGCCACATTATTTAAAGTACTGTGGTTGCCTGGACAACGATGATAACAATTCAGCGTCCGCCCGTGGGCCAAGTCGGGAGCATCTGTAATGTTTCCGCGTGTCTAATGACCGATTAAGTTTTATCTGCTTGATAACAAAGCTGAATAACAAAGTAACTGCAAGACTAAGATATTAAGGGGAGAGCTGGGTAGCTCTGTGGCTAGCTGTGCTCAGTAGCTCACAGGTTCGCCTATTTTAGCCCTGTCAGTTAGTTATATTAAACTACAATACTTATAAATTGTGTCAACAACAACCGTTTATTTTCTACCAGTAGAATGAATGTTTTCTTTGTCTAAAATCTCTACAAAAGTCATTTTTTAGATCTTCCACTTGTCCTTCACTGCTCTCAGATCTGGGCTGCTCAGTGGCCCAGTGGGTTGCACCTTTGCCTTACAGTAAGAAGGTGCTGGGTTTTATTCCTGGCCCGGGGTGTTTTTGCGTGGAGTTTGCATGTTCTCCCTGTGCATGCGTGGGTTATCTCTGGGTACTCCGGCTTCCTCCCACAGTCCATAAACATGGACTGTTTGGTTAATTGGCTTCTCTAAATTTTCCTCAGGTGTCAGTGTTTGCGTGAATGTTGGTTCATCCTGTGTGTCTCTGTGTTGCCCTGCAATGGACTGGGTACCTGTCCACAGTGTACTTCACCTCTTGCCCTAAGACAGCTCGAGATAGGCACCAGCACCCCTTGCCACCACAGAAGGGATTAAGCGTGACAGAAAAAGGATGGATGGATTCTCTCAGATCTGAAAAAGAAGAAGCACTGAGAATTGTTTTTGTCATCTTGTTAAAGATGATGAGGTTTGTCGTAAAAGGCAGTGCTTTCCTTAAAGACTGATCGTTTTCTGCTTTCGGCTACTTTAGAACACAGATGAAACGTAAAAGAATTGCAAATATGGGTGATAATATGTTGAGACTCCAGAAAAGATCTCATTACTAAGAAAGGTGTGCAATACAGTTTGTCCGAGTGGCGTTGCCATACAATGACGTATGGCAACGTCATCATATGGCTTACGGGTCCCAAGTAGATCTGGTACCTACACCTCGAATCAGAGAGGCTAGCTGTAAAGGCCTTTAAGAATGGGCATCTCAGAAAACATCAGAAACTTTCACAATTAAGCAGCATCTTTATAATCCGAGCTGATAGTGGATTGTTTACAGTAAATTATGTGTAAAAGTGAGTGTAATAAATCAAGCTTTAATCACTGTTTTTTTTAGCATACTCTTATGCCATTGTAGTATTAATTAACAATACAACAATCCATGTCAATCCCCCCTCTGTAGCAATGTTTGGGGGACTCGAAAGTCCTACCTTCAGAAAAGGACCATTTATCTGAGAAAGTAAAATTACTTGGATAAAGCTTTATTTAACTGCTGAAAGCACCAGCAACGGAAAGGTCTATTGGCAACTCTGCTGATTATAGCTTTTGATGCTGTGTCTTGTGAGAAACACCTGTTCATGGTGAGAGGAATTTGTTTCTTTTCTTTGATTGTGGCCAAGATGCACACTTTGTGTCCACATTTGTCACTCTCTCTCTGCAATACCTTTGTTTTGTTTTTTTCTTTCGGGGTATACTTCAAATATATCAGTAGATCCTTTCATGGTTTGTTAATGCCAAACTTCTTAGTACTAAGGACATGCCAAGGTCCATGAATGAATTTATAGCTACTCATTTTTGCAGTGGGCATTAAAAAGTATCAGCAATTAATGGATATTGTTTTTCTTTTGACTGACAGTTACCTTCACAGTTTTGCAGAAATGTCGCCCATTTTGAAGGTCTGACAGACCACCCACTAACATTTTCATGTATTCTAAGTGAAAAACCATTTTTAATCTTATCAACGTAGGTATTGTCAAAAAAATGTGTGTTGATATAAATAATTTTCATTCATATTATTTTTAAATACTGAAACTTTTAAACTAGTTTACTAAGTTTAACACCATTTGGTTCTATTTCTTTAACTGGATTGGATTTTTAATGAAATGAGGTGTGTTTAATATCAATATATATATATATATATATATATATATATATATATATATATATATATATATATATATATATATATATATATATATATATATATATATATATATATATATATATATATATAAATATATATGAGCTTGTTTTCTCTGCTGTTTTTCATCTTTAAAAAGGTTATTCTGTTTAAATTGCAGTTTTTGGTCAAATAAAATCAATCTTCCCAATGTGTGTTTCTGATTTCAATACCCTTCATTGTAATAATCGAATAAAGTTTACTTATGAAACTGCAAAGTTTTTAGTAACTAAAAGGAAAGTGTTAACTGGAATAACAAAGAAGCACTAAAGGGCAAACTGTTCCCACTTATATTCACTCAGCAGGACTACATCAAAATGTTCTTTCACTAAAAGGTCACCTCCGCTTGGATAACTGAGTCACTGAAACACCAGTTTGTCAGATTGAAAAATAGATAACTCAAGATCCACAGAAACAGACTTTTGTAAAGCCCAGCAGCTTAGTTCTATTCAGACTCTTTCTTTGGCACTTACATGTTGTTGACATTACTTTTTTTCATCATTGATTAAACACAGTAGCTGCTAAAAACAACCTCCCTTATACTAAGTCATGGATCATTGAGTGTCTCTGTTGTCTGCCTTTGTAAGCTTTGATATATTTCCTTTTTCTTATTTCTCTAAAATTATTTTAAATTTAACAAACTATATATTAGTGCTCTTGCTGTTTGTTCCATTTGATAAAACCTCATTGACCTCATTGTGTTGTTTATTTTAACTCTTTTCAGGTCTTCCATTACAACAGTCTATATTGAAGTTCTGCCCCCAAACAACCAGAGCCCTCCTCGTTTTCCTCGCCAACAATACCACCTTGAGATCAGTGAAGCCATGACGACTGGTGCTACACTTCTTAATTTGCAGGTAGACACATTCACACACACAATTATGCATTAACTACAAAGAGAATCAGGAAGGGTTTGATCAAATTTTAACTGTACCGACTGCATCACCGTGCTGGCTGCTTGTTTTAGATAAGATTGTTCCATTACTTTTGACTTTTTTTTTTTATTCTTTTCAATCATTTATCCATTACCTCAGGGTAACCACGGGAAGGTTTAATTCATTAAGTGTGATAATCTTTTAAACTCTTGCAATTATTAAATGTCATTTTTGTTTTCCTTTTTTAATTAACAAAGCTGCTCATTGCTGTTACAACTAGGTGACAACATAAGTACTAGGCAAGGCCGGAGGTATACAATCTTTTACATCAAAAATAGTGCTTATTTTGGGCCTTATACATACTATGGTTGTATTTCCTCTGTCCATTCATGGAATTACAGTTTCCTTGGACAGTGTTAATATTTTCCTTCAGAATTAATTTATAGAGCACTTTTCAGTTAAATCTGAAAAGGGCTGTGCAGTTAAATTAGAACAGAAAAATCATGCTTTTTTTTACTAAATAAATATGCTAGTATAATTTTAAATACTGTAAGTTGATAAGATAAAAATAACTGTATAACTGCAATAAAATGAAATCTTATTATTATGCATTAGAGAAGCAAAAGCTCTCTTAAGTGTATATTAAGAAAGACAAATAACTAATATAAGCAATATAAAAATCTTGAAATTTTAAATTCATAAATATTTTGCCATAAAAGATAAAGCATAACATAATATTTTATGTAGGATTGCAATAGTTGCAAAAGCAAGATTAAAGTAATGAATAACACAAGATCAAATTAAGATGTTATATACGGTCATGTAAAGCCAGGCTTTTTTATTTTTTATTTTAACAGACTACTATCAAACCCCAATTGGAACATTGCAAATTACTTCAGATCCACATTTTTTCCTCATGGTTGTTCTTTTTTCTTACATGTTATAGTTCAAAGTTACAATACTTGTCTAAATCCACTGGAGCTGATAGGTAAGAGTATTAGCCCATTTTTTTATACTTTTAGCTTGAATGCTCTAGGGCTATGGTTTCATAAATGCTAATAGATATTTTATACGTATACAAAATGTAAATAAAACACAAAATGTACTTTGTGTTAAATTTGAGGAAGGGTTGTGTAATTAAGTTAGAACAGGAAAAGTATGCATTTCTTTACTAATTAAGTATGCCAGCATAATTTTAAATACAGTAAGTTGATAAGATAAGAATACCTTTATAAATACAATGAAATTTCATCTGAAATTATCCATTACATAAGTAGAAGCTCTCTTAAGTGTATATTAGGAAAGATCAGACACTAATATAAGCAATATGAAAATCTTGAAATTCTAAATTCAAAAAACAATCTGTCATAAAAGATACAGCATAACACAATATTTAATCAAGGGTTGTAAGAGCAACATTAAAGTAATGAATAAAACAAGATCAATTTACTATTTTATAGAAGATCATGTAAAAGCCAGGCTTCAAATGAGATTTTATTTTTGATTTTAACAGACTATTACCCTAAACCCTATTTGGAACTTTGCAAAATTACTTCAGACGCACATTTATTCTTTATCGTTGTTTTTTTTTTCTTACATGTTATGGTCAAAAGTTACAATAATTGTATAAATCCTGTGGAGCTGATACTGTAGGTAAGAGTATGATGCCATTTCTTTTATACTTCTAGCTTTAATGCCCTACGGCTTTGACTTTATTCATGCTTATACATATTTTATATGTACACAAAATTTAAATAAAACACAAAATATACTTTGTGTTTTATTTCCCAGCCTTCCTACTTTTTATAATGGAATGAAATAAAATATACATTGTTATGTTTTAGTCATACTGTAGTGGATTTTTCATAGGGGTAAATGTATATCCAACTTTGCTATAAACTGTTCTTTTTAAAGAAATAACAAACATGTTAGCTAATATAGCTAGAATTAATTTGTTTGTATTGTTTTACCAACAGTTCTTGTGCATGTATTAAAATCTGAATGAATGTTTATTTAGAAAATTACCTTTTTGCATTTGCTAGGAAACCTCAGGGGTTTGCTAGGAAACCTCAGGGGTTTAATTTTCAATATTTGTTTGTGAAACATAGAAAACATAACTTGACAATATTCCTGTTTTGTTAAAAAAAATAGCCTTTTTACATAAGGATTGTTTGAATATGTTTGACACCTAATAATACGGTTTTCCATAATACTATACTGACATCCATTATCATAATGTGCGTTCTACCTGTAATTTTCTGGCAGTATCATCTCCTAGAATACATTTAAATCAACATTGTCATGTTTTACTACAGAATTTTCATTAAAGTTTGGTAAACATTACCGCATTAAAAAATATATTCTGTATGATTTAAGGTTTGTTTTTCTTCTTTTTATTACAAAAAAAATTTAACTCTGCTGAGGGATGATTAGGTTAGATTGTTTAAAAAGTCCGATAGACTAGTATTTTTAGACTTGCAAACTCAATAATTAAACTTTTTTTTTAAAAATTAGGAAAAGAGACAAAACACAAAAACACATGCAAATAATAAATGATCCAAACGATCAAATCTGCTATCATAGGAAAAAAAGAGAAGCAATATTTGAAACAAACTGTAAACACAGAATGACTGTAAATAAATAAATGATGCTAACACAAACAACATACACAGGAAAAGGGCTAAAATTAGCAAAAACAAAAGCAAGTTAAGAAAAAGCTGTGAATTAGCAACTAATAGGGGATGTGCTCCAGACTGTAGGGGGAGAAAATCATAATCTCCTATGGAACCAGAACATACACATTACTATTAACCTCTATGGACACAACCCTTTCTTTTAAGCCCTTAGGGCCTGATATTCAAAAAATAAAATAATAAAGAGGTGCAAAATTGAATGTGCAATTTTTTAGGATGTGCAATAAGTGGGCTTATTGCAGGTGTTAAAGACAGTCTACAAAAAATTGCTGCCCAATGTTAGACCGATTTCTTTTTGCCAATTGCAAATGAACAGATTGCATGTTCTACAGACACTTTGAGAGTACACGTAAAATAAAGATGAGGTTTAAAATTATTGAGATGAAGTTAATAACTATAATTATAAGAAATTTGTTTCAATTGTAAAAATATTGTTTGAGTAAATGTTTACAGTGCATGCAACCAGAATATATCTTGATCCTGTTCCATTATACCATTCCTCTTTTGTAGTATTAATGGCTGCAGATATGTTTTAGTACTTCTGTTAGCAAGTACAAAACAAAATGAAAAAACTATGGCCGCACTTTGGTTTCCAATTTGAAATTTATTTTTCGCATGTGGTATATATTTCTATTAACAAATACCTCTCTATAAATTCACATTGGTCATTAGAATATGACCTACATATTGATGAAGGCCCGTACGATAAGTGGTTTGTACTTGCTGCTCCTGAATGCGAACGCATTTCGCTGCGTCGCTTCTTTGAAGATCTGCTCTGTGCATACAAACGTGTCCATTATTTTAATACATGCAAATCTTAGGATATAAATCTCTCTGAGCATTGTGTTTATTCAATTCAATCAGTTATACTTTATTAATCCCTGAAAGGAATTTCAAAAAGAAAAGGGAAAAAAAACTTAACTATAGTTCTGGTCCCATACTGTATGAGCTGATGATTGTCTCCCCCTAGTGATTTGGAGCACTTTTGTTATGTGGAGATAATTTGTAGCTTTTCTTGACTTGCTGTTGTTTATGTGACATGAAGCATTTTCCTTCACACGCATTTTGTGTTATCATCATGTATTTGCAGTAGAGTTTTTGTTTGCAGCATGTTATCATTTTGCCGCTCTCTATTTTCTGTGATTGCAGGTTTTCTGCTTTGCAGCATTCTTTCTTCGCAAAGGTTTCTGTTCAAGTCTAATTCTAATTTTGCAAGTCTAATTTTTTTTTTTTTGCAGGGTTTTTAAAATTGTTGTGAAATCATCTACTTACACTAATAATATACAATAGTACACTACCCTTGGTCACCGTACTGCTTGTCCCTCTGGCAGAAGAGACAGACATTTAATGCTGCCCCATTTTCTCTTTCAGTCTCTCTTACGGTATACAGAGTTACATCCAAGCCATGATTACATCAAGAGCTAAAGTCAAGAAATATATTTTTGGACACTATAAATGATACTTCAATAAGCACAGACTTGCATACTTAATAAAATTACAAGTGACTTACACTTCACAAGGCTACTAAATAAAATCATCAATGCAGTTCGTGACTTTGTTTTCCCACATTTTCTGTAATTTCAAAAAAGTTACATAGCATAAGACCATTATGCTTGTGTTTTTGGGGTGTTAAAGGTCCCTTATTATGTTTTTTTTAAGTCTTTCAAAGTCACTTATATATATGTGACAAACTAAAGCCTTTTAATATATATAGAGAATATATATAGAGTGTCAATACTTTTTTTTAATACAGTTGTTTTCTTCCAACTCTGAAGAAAAACACTTGCCTTTGAAGCAAAGCTGCCTCTCTCAGTCTGGGTATCACCCGTTTTATGACGTTGTCATATCACAGCACTTCTGAAGGCTGGAAACAATCAGAGACCTCTTGAGGCCAGAATACTATATGATTTTCATGACTTAGACAATGACCATAAAAGAAAAGTTGCTGCCCTATGCAGATTAGCCGCTAAAAGAGCCACTTCATCTTAACTTTGAGCCAGAATAATAGCCCTCTGTTTTACATCACCCCTCCCTGATCAGAGAGAGTGGGTGTTTGTTTACAGTTCCAGCAACTGTTTCCTGGAGGGAGCATTTTTACTTAGATATTTTCTATCTGCTCGTATTCACAGTACAGCAAGGGGCTGCTGCTTAGAGAGCAGAAAGCATGGAGTTTACCCAGAGTTGCAAGAATCAAGTGAAATACCCCTTTATGCATGATTTTGATGAATGATCAGCCTTATAACATAGATGATAGCTCAAAAAATAATTTTGCGTGATATTGACTCTTTAATATGCAGCTAATCACAATTAAAACATTTGCAAAAACTAATAAATCTGTCTTTTTAAATTCTTAACTGTGTGTTTCCTTTTAAGGCAGTGGACCGGGAGAAGGATCCAATAACGTACAAAATTCAGAGTGGAGATATTGATGGAAATTTTGCATTGCAGCAGAAGTAAGTCTATGAAAAAGATCTATATGTTTATTTTCTAGAGGATTATTTGTTGCTTGTATCATATTTAAAAAAGACTGTTCTAATTTTCAAATGTAATGGTTGCATAACTGGATTTCAAAAGCTGTTTTACATCTCTATCACAATATTTTATTGTACTTACTTTTATTTCAATTTGTATGTTAAAATTCCTTATACGGATGGGTGTGGAGAATTAGCCGGTGGCTAATTGTGTTACAGGCATCAGATTATATTTTGTAATAATTTCTTATGTTTATTTTTATCTGTCCCTATCAAATATTTCATCAATAAACCTGAAATGTGACTTTCTACTTTCAGAAAAAATATGGACATATGGTAAAAGTTATAAATATCTAGTGCCTTTCAGAGGCACCTACTCTTTGAATATGTTTTTATACTTTCATGTTAAAACCACACATTCCGGTGGGTGTAACTGGATTTTTATGTGACACTACACATAATTGTGCAGTAGGAGGAAGATGCATTCTTTTGTTCATCTAATAAAACTGTGAAGCTTTTTATTCATCACACCAGGGAAGGATTAAGCGGATATAAATGTAGCTATATATATATGTATAATAGTCCTTCCACTTCACAGTTATAATAAACAACAAAATAAACAAAGTTTGTTCATATATTACAAAATATAAAAATGTTTTGGGAGTATAAATTTTTTGCAGAGTTCTTTGGGTTAAGGATTTACCTCATTGTTTCTCACACTTTATCTTTTTTGAAACATATAATTTAAAACTTTGTTAAAATAATAACAACCTTCAATTCATTTCAGGGTTTCAGTATACATATATATATAGTTTTTTTTTTTTTTATTAATTATTTGATATATAATCAATATAGATATATAATCAATTATTACATTATTACAGTAGTCCAGCCTTAAATTAACAGATAAAAGGAACTGTTTCTCAGGATCTTCCTTGCACAAGATATTAACAGTTTTTGTAATATTCCAGAAATGAAAAAAGGAAATTCCTGAAACACGCTTAATATAGGATTTAAATGGCAGTCCTGATAAAAAAAATAAATAACACCAAGATTTTTATGTTATTATCTGGGATCAATTCTTATCTGGAATCCTAATTAAGTAACTGACAAATCAGTTTCTTAGTCAAAGACTCTGGTCCAAAAACAACATGTTTTTCCATCATTCAAAAGCTTAAAGTTTAGAGTCATCCAGGTTTTTATGTCTTTAAGACATGCACATAGTCAAACTGGCCAGTTTCTTGAGGATTTAAAGAAAAATAAAGCTAGGTGTCAGCCATATAACAATGTTTGATAATTCTACCAACTGGGAGCCGTCTTTTTACTTTAAAATAGAAATGGTCCTAGCAATGATCTCTGTGGTATAACACAAGTAACCCTGTAAATAAAATAAGATTTATCATTAGTCTTAAATAAAATAAATATGTCACACAAATAAGATTCTAACCAGTCTAGTACTGTTCTCTTAATTCCTACAATGTCCTGTAATCCTGTGATCTACTCTATTAAATGCCACACTTAGATCTAACCGGACAAGTACAGATACAAGTGAATTATCTGAGGCCATTATAATATCATTAGTAACTTTCACCAGAGCTGTTACAGTGCTATGGTGATGATTGAAACTCGTCTAAAAGGTCGTTACAATTTAAGCTCAAAAACTTAAATAGCAACTATTTTCTCAAGAATGCTAGATAAGAAGGGGGATTAGATATAGATCAATAATTGATCAAGTTATTTGGATTTAAAAAGTGTTTCTAAAGGTTACCTTAAAAGCAATCTTAAAAGCCTGTGATAAATATCTCCATTCAATACCAAAAAGATATAAAGTTGGAAAATTGCTAAAATTGGGCCTAGTTAATTGGGTACAAATTTCTTTGCAGAGCTCTGCAAAATGTCTTTAATATTTAGATTTCAACCTTGTATTTGCATACAAATAAATCCTCCAAATAGATTGAAGCTGTCAGTTAATTCTGACCAGAAAATTCTTGTGAAATTAAAAGTATTCTCCTCCATGGTGTCTATATTTATCCTCCTTTGTCATTTATCTGTCTTTTACTAATGCTTTTTATTGTTTCATTTAGATTTGTGCTGATCTTTTTTCACATATATAATTTCAATGTCAATCTGATTAGTTTGCATTCTCTCTACAGTTCAGGGTATTTGATATTGGACAAACCTTTGGACAGAGAGTCTTTAGATCATTATATCCTGATGGTCACAGCCTCAGACGGACGCCCAGATGGGGTAAGAAACCATTAATACTAACTGTTTATCTTTATTGAGTTGTTTCACAGCCCTGAGCAAATTAAGCCAAGACCATGCTGGAAATGACATGCCACCAACGGCACCGTTTTAACATACGAAAAGAGACATTTAAAAAAGTGTTAACTCCAGAACAAAAATTTTTAAGAAGTAACCAGAAGTTAAAAAAAGTATATATATATATATATATATATTCAATTGTTTTGAAAAATTGCCTCCACAATGATACTATAATTCTTCTCCTTTATTTTTGTGAGGATACTGTTGGTTTTAATCATACTTTGGAGCCATCATCCTCTTTGTGTTCACCACTCTGCAGCTGCTCCCTGGTATTCCGTTAGAGTTTGTTTCCAGATCTTTTAATTCAGCAAGTCTCACTAGTGAATCTTTCTTTCCCCTTTGCTGATATCTTCCTGTCACCAGTCACCATTGATTTTCTTTATCAATCTGCCAGTTCTATTGCATCACCTTACTTCTGTAATCCCTGCAAAACTTACCCACATTCACCAGCTCCTTGCTGTCTTACAGCTGCTGTCCTTAGTCTCCTTTTCCTACACTTTTTCTTCTATAAAAATGCATGGATAGCGACACCTTTATTTATCAGCTGTTCAATCAGAAAGGCAAACAAGTCATGGTCCTTGTAGCAGGAGTTATCCTGCTACAATCCAACCTTGACAGCATCACACCTCACCACTGTTCAACTGCCAGTGCACTGTTTATCAGTGTTGCTTAAAGGCTTCATCATGCAGGATTAACATAACCTTCCAGAAATACGTTAGTGGTCAGAATTGAAATTTTGTCATCTGACAAGTAAAGTGAAAAACAGTTACCTCTCACATTATACCTGTCAGGGGATGTGGATTTAACTTTCCCAAGGTTGATGTTTCGAAGCAGGGTAAGGATAAAAGAAAGTTCCACAAGGGTCTAAAGGTTAAGTCCTCTGGTCGGAGTTTCCGGTCCTTTGGGACATTTTTGCATGTAAGTGTTTAATGATGCTGCATAGCCGCAGATCACTCAGGGTACCAATGCTGAGACATGAACCGCAGAACATGACCAGGCAGTAATTTCTGAATACATGCATCACTTTTCTGGGGAAAGAAAGATTTCACCAAAGTGTTCTGTGGGGAAAAGGGAAAGGGATGGTATGATGGTTTTCACAATGTTCTGTTTGGCCGATTTCAGTCCTGCCTTCCATGTGGGAAGCTACTCTGACCTTATCTGACCATTATAAAGACCCTTTAAAATCTTCCAGGAGGGATTATCCCCATGAAGACTGTGACCTCATCCAACAGGTTAATATACACTCCCAGACAGGAAAAACAAGTTTTACAAGGGATTTAAGCAGCACTACAATAAGTTTGAGGAGTTTTGGCTTCCAGTTATTTCAGACCTTAATCGTATTAACCATCTTTTGAGGTTGTATCGGAAGAAATGTAGGTGAATGTTCCAAATCACAACTATAACAGCCAATGTCTTGGTGCAAGATATATGATGTAGTCCATCACTCAACAGGGACGTCATTGGACAGGTACTCATAAAGTTTTACCAAGTCAAGGTTTTTACTTATTAAAGCACTGTGAAAGTTTTGGTCCAAGTATTAGGATAATTTAAAGTATATTGAAGGATTTTGCAGATCAGTAACAGCGGTTGGCTCTTATCGATGATTTATACCGGTGTCTTTCTTAAAACTCAGCTTTGTAACTTTAGCAGGTTGGATCTGTCACTGATTGAGTCTAGAATGCCGCTTCATTGCAGTCTTAGCTCCCCTTAAACAAGTGAGCTATGCTCACCTTTAACAGTACGTGCCTTTGAAGTTGCAAGTGGATAGTGGAAGCAGGGCACTTTGACATCCATTTTCTGCCACTTGTAAATCACATAATCAGTTGGTTATTACATTTTACTTTTGTCAACGTTTAACTTAAAGCCATGTATGTTGCACCAACACAAAAAGATGTTGCAGTTGATTTTAAATTTGCTGTGGTTCCACTCATTGGCAGACCTGATTCTCTCAGTACTTTTGTACTCTTTTTCGTCATCCAATTAAAAATTGGAAAAAGATTTTTTTCTAATTAAAAGGTAAAAAGAAAGAACTCTATAGAATAATGTTGGCATGAATCTTGGTTTTATTCACATATGGAAATTATTAACTTCTACCTTTAAAAAAGTAATCTTCACATTTCCATATTTTTAATGACAGAGTCCCATTTGATCTTAACAGGCAGTGTCTGATGCCAACCACATTTTCTTTTACCTAACCTATATTAGGCCAATTGAGTAATTTCCTAAAACTCACTTTGTTATTACTTTGTTTTTTTATATGTTGTAATATGAAATTAAAGCAAAAAAAAATAGTTTTTCTCTCATTTCTTTTTGTCAGTTACCACTTATCTTTTAATTTTCCTCAATTAGTTAGGCATCAAACATTTTTTCTTTTTTGAAGTAAAAAAAAGTTAAATATCAATGAATACATAAGGTAGTTGTTATTTTGGTAACTGTTATGGCTGTGTAAAGTGCAAACAAAATGAGAAAAAAAACGTAGATAGTAAGTATAGGAAGAATGATTTAAGAGATGTTCATCCTTTTTTTTTTTTGTCCTATAAATATGCCTTGATACGCACTTATAACCACACTACTTTTCCACCAGACTCTAGGGCTTCATGACGAGCGCATTATCTTTGTGTCTTGAAGAACATAAAGTTAGAAAAACGGCAAAGATAAATTCAAACATTTTTCTGCTTGGCACAGTATTACAAAGCTTATTGAATAAGAGGCAGATGAGTTTGAGAAAGAGAAGAATGGTATGAGCTACCCAACAGCAGAAGTGAATTCAGAGAAAAATGCTAGAGAAAGAAGAACAGAGGACTAGATGCATTACACTGGCCATTAATCAGTATCACCCAAAAGGCCTTGTTGTCTTCACTTGTGCACACATACACATACCTGTTTGTATCTTTTATTATTAAATGTCCTGTTGGGAGAGTGTCAGACTACAAAGTGCCTAATTGGCCGTTTGGCGAGTGAATCCATCATACTGCCAGAGATGAGAACTATACAAGTTGGTGCAATAAATCTATCCTCCTGTAAAGGCACTATTGGTTAGATGCAGGTCAGCTTGGCATAGGCAAATGATCAGTTGTGTACTTTCCTAACTGCATCAAAAGGTTAAATCAATCAGCTTTAACCTTTTGCTAGCATAAGGACTTGAGAAATATTTTCAAAATGGTGCCAGACTCATATTTTAAAATATTGGGGCTTGATCAGCAAAAGTAATTCACCTCCTAAATGAGAAATGGGATCAGCTGAGTCTCCATTGGCACAGTAGAAATGACACATGATCTATTATTATTATGGGGCTTTATCTTGTTATTATTATAAATAGATATCTTGCACAAATCGTTTTTATATAAACAAGAAAGCTTTCTTGTTGGTCATTTTGACTGCTGCATATTACACTCAATTGATTTGCTATGTAAGATTATTACAGACTAGTGTGACTAGCTAAAGATTTTTTTAAACAAAATAACACCAAAAAGACTATTTCAATTCGCTATACAATCTTTATTAAGTGTTAAGCTTTTGCACGTGCTGTTCATTGTCATTGCACTAACAAAAGGAACAAATCTTTCCAAACAATGCAACCAATAATAAAGCAAATATATAATATAATACATTAACGTAATAGTTGTCAATTTATTACCAACACTTAATCCAGGCATCAGTTTCAAAATATGTTTTATAAAAAGCAATCCACAATATGAAATGAAAAATAAAGGACATAGATTGGAGATCTAGAGTCAGGAAAGGGTGATATACAAGCAACAAAGTTTATATTACCCTAATTATTTGCACTGTTTACAATGTGGCTACTAAAACTAACACAGATCACTTGTCTTCATCTGGCCTAACTCCTACACGTAGCTTTGCGCATTCGCAGTATGTGGCAGGAGTATTTTTATCGGTTCTTTGCAGCTGTCAATGCCTCCTTTTTAAGTTTGCTGCACGCTTGAGGCTAGAGGGTACCACATTGTTCCTCCAGCCTTGATGGCTGTCTCTTCTCAATGAACTTAGCCCAAAACTCCTCTCCTAGCCTTTCCCAGTAGACACCTCAATTGCAGAATCTTTTTGCCAGTGCATTTCTGTAAAGTAAAATGGACATTTACACCTGTGATGTAAGAATGAAACTGAAATAATATCAAGATATTAAGTTTTATGGTAATATAGGTAAATTATTTTTATTTCTATTACTGCTTTGACATAAGACAGTAAAGCAACAAGTAACCCAACTTCTGAATGTAACACCCTCTTTTTCTAGGGCAGTTATAATAATGAAATCTGAAACAGGCTGAGTTTACTCTGCTGATTGGCATTGGACAGCTAGGCAGGGGGAGGGGGCGGGGGGGTGTAAAAGAATGGCATCTTTTGTAATAACTTTGCACCAGAGGTAGAATTTGCAGAATTTATTCAGCCATATAGAGAAACTATTACTGGTAAAACAATCTGAAGTATCTCTTTAAAAAGTAAAGTTTGCCTGACACACCCATGGACAACATTGAAAGACACTTGGATATTGTTCTAGAAAAAATATTATTTCCTATTTGTTTGTTCTTTCTGGCTTTTTTTTAAAGAAGTTCAAATTAAGGTATGTTCACACCAAACCGAATGTGGCAATAAAATATTTCAGTGTTTCAGGAATTAGGGATGTATTTGGTGCGCATATTTCACTGCACTGCTAATATAGGCCAAGTAGATGAACAGAGAAAGCAAAGTATAATTTAGCAGAAATTAATCAAATCTAAACTTCTATGCTTAATTTGTGTCACATCAGCCAATCATCAACTGGATGGGGTTGGCGTGTAAGGTGAAGAAGCACAGCTGAAGCAAAGCTTTGTCATTCAAGAACTCACTAGAGATTAATCACCCTCCCTGCAGCAGTTCTGACTTGCACCTAGATAGAGGGAATTATCGCTGGAGGAGATTATACAGCCGCAGCTCCTGGATCAGCTGGTGTTACTGGCTGATCTAGGAGCAGATCTGCTGCCAGCAAGGTTGTTCAGCTTTCTATCTTACATAGAGCACACTGACTGTCACAGTAAAGGTGAGGTTGGGTGGGTGGGACCCAAAATAGAAACCAGAATGCAGAGGAAATTCCTCCTCTTTGGTAATGCTGTAAACCTAGCTGGGTAGAAGCATGCCGTGGTGTCCGCATATATGGCAAGCCTTTTAAGATATAATACCTAGACTTTATATTGATTACTGTTATATGCAACATAATGTTTTCCTGTCAAAACTCATCATTCAAGATATCTGTAATTAGATTAGCCAAAATTAGTACCTGCAGTTGTGACTAGTCAAAATGACGATATGTTCAATAGGCTTACTACCATACCCATGACTGGTTTGACAGGGAGATGTAATGTCAAGAGAAAAAATGCCAGGTGTATCATGCAGAAAATTTGCAACATTAATATTTGATGTGAATATATCTTTATCTTTAATAAGATGTTGTCAGAGATTTTAATGTATTTTCTGCAGAGCCACACAAATCCCTCAGTTTTCATAATAAGTGACTGTTTTTTGTATTTGAAATCAGCACTTGCTGTAAAGTTAACAAAATGTCAGTGGCCAACATCAAGAAGGAAAAACATGAACCAATGCTGTTTTAAGACCCACAATATTTTGGTTACACTTGACAAATGCACAATGAAAATCATACAGCATGAAGTCAAGTAGAGTTAAATGGAGGCATCTCAAGCTCATTAAGGATTTCAGGTTTTGAATATATTCACTAAAGTTTGATATTGGATTCCAAAGTATTTTATTTCATTTTCTTGAGTTAAGAGCTATTATATGAGAAATCACTTTTATTAATTTTATCTAATTGTTTTGTATCATTTTGAAGACTTCCACTACTATGGTGAACGTGGTGGTGACTGATGTTAATGACAATGATCCAGTGTTCAACTCTTCACTGCCAGTGAACTTGACAGTCATTGAGGAACAGGACAACGCCTTCGTTGGACAGGTTATGGTAAGCAGATCCTCCATAAAGTGCACTTTTGCAAGTCAAATACTGAGAGTAAAACACACAGTACTTTTTTAATGAGGTCCCTGTGTGAAAACAAAGGACAGGGATGTGTTGATTATGTTCTTCTGCAAGGCTCTGTACTTGTTTGAGCTTTTAATGAGCGATAATTGTTCTTTTAATAATGACACTTGAACACAAACATGATAATTAAGAAAAATTAATCTGACTGTTTCAAGAACTCCCTGATTGCACAATTTAAAAGCCTTGCGGGGGGGGCAAGTCAATGACAAATTGCTTTTGTTTGTATCATTTCTCAAATGACACAGACCAGCTCATTTGAGAATGGCTATGGGAAAAATCCTTTATTGAAGTTTGAAGCATCTGTTGGGTTCTGATTTGTTATTGTTATAAGGACTGAGAATCATCCCCTTTATAATGTTTTTTTTTATATAACACAGTGTAACTTTGGGCACATATTTACAAATGTTTGACCAAGATATCAAGTATTACACTCTTCTATTTCTCATAGTTATTTAAAGCCAAATTTAATTGAAGGAAATATATACATACTCCTTAACCCTTCTCCGGTCTTAATATTCTGTATACACGCTGTGTCCTCCAGGTCATAGTAACTCAGATTCAATAATACCCCAATATAAAGCAGCTTGTTTCAATTTTAAACACCAAATCTATTTTGCCTTAAAGATCAACTTGCTATTCATCACAAATTGGGTGAATATCTGAATTTTCCCTTCTTCACATGGCAGAAAGATTGCATTTATTCAGGAGATACCTCTCATGGTTTTTTTGACAGTTTTTTCTCTTGGAGCTTGAGGCATTTTTTTTCATCTGTGAATGAATTAGCATCTTGCTCCTTTTCTAATGATACATACTCTCACTAGGTGGTTTTGCAGGTAATTTAAGAAAATATTTTCTAGAACCTGCTCAACAGTTAAAGGCATGCTCATAGCTGCATCAAAGAGGATTCAGGGTACTCTCTGCAGTGTTTTAGGTGTTTTAACACCTACAGTAGCAAGACAGGGGGCTTTATTTTATTTTATCTTTTTTTCCCCCTTTATTTCCTTTATCTTTTACACCATTTTGTTAATGTGGTTGTGGCAATATTATTTTGACCCATGTTTTAGCTCTTTAGCACTTTGGTCAGCTGTGGTTGTTTTTAAGTGCTTAGCAAATAAAATTGGATTGGAGACTTTCACCTGCAGTACCTATATAGGCTCTGGACAGCCTCAAGGACTAGCAGTAATAGTGTGGCATGGAATGCAGAAGTTTGTCCTGCATTCAGAGGGTTGCCGGTTTGAACCCCTGCTCTGTCGTCTCAGTGGTGGCCTTGGGCAAGACAGTTCCCTTGCATTGCCTACTGATGGTGCCTGTGTTCAGCAACCCCTGTTCTGTCAGTATGCCCCAGTCGAATTGTGGCTACAGTGTAGCTTGCCACCATCAATGTGTGGATTGTAATTAACTGAATGTGGCATAAAGTGTGTTAGACCCTCATTACTTGAAAAGATGCTACTGTATAAACAAACTATTTACCATATAATTACATTTCACAAGAACCTGTAGTTTGTTGGACCTTTTTCTTGCTTTCTTTCCCTCTGCAGGATGGAAAACAGCACATATATTATCCAAATGGCAATATTTTTATATTTTGATCATGAGATTCTTTATGCACCCACATTTCTAGACACTCACCTATACTACCACTTCCTTGGGATTCATAATTCAGACAGGCTATAGGCAGTGCATTCTGCTAGATAGGAGCATGTCTTTTCATGTTTTCTTCTGCTACTGATGAATCTAAGACAAAAACGAAGGCATGTCTATATCTTTGTTGAAAATGGATTGTATTTCAAGTTGAAGAAATATAATTTAGAGTTTTATTTCTGCTGTTAAACTTTGTTTCAGGTAAACAATTAAGATTTTGCTTAAAATAAATGATTCCAAAAAAGATTTAGTGCATAATTACTTTATGAACATGTTGCTGCTAAACAAAGTGAGAATGTGAGCAGCTTTGCTTTTACAAACACAGCTGTTTAAAGATTATAGAATATAGCCGTTTCTTCTTGTTTGCCTGCCTGATTCATACAAGAAAATTCATTTGTTGCTACTGCAGGTATTAGTGTTTGTCTCTTTTAAGCATATGATAAAACAAGGTTATGAAATGCATTAATTTGGCAGTTAATTAATTAATTAGTATCTCATCAAGCAAATGTTCTGCACACACATCTGTAGTTATAAAAAAAAAACAAAAAACACTTGCATTTTGCACAGTTGCAGTGCCTGAAATTAAGCTCTCTTATTAGATTCATCTGGTGTGACCAAAGATCAATGTTACACAAGTTTGAGGTAGCTACTGAGTGGCAGCTTTTTTAGCTTGATGTATGCTGAAAGAAAAGGTATCTGCATTTGCATATTATAGACAAAGCACTGCAAGACTTCAAGGTTTGCTTGCCGGTTTGTTACTGGGGTGGGGTTTTGGTGTTATTAGGGATTTAAAATACTTTTAAGACTTCTGAAATAAATTCATTTGTTTTCTGTCAATCATGTAGAACTTTGTGTTTTTCTGTATCATAACATTCTAATAAAACACACCGTCACATGAAGTGGAAACATTTAACTTTTGAAAAGCATGGTGTGAATAAGTCTGAGACTAATCTATTATTTAAAAAAATTATTCGTACTTTTTACAAAACCAAGCATTTTCAAGACGTTGTGACTGACTGTCCTTTTTCCCCTATAAGATTCATGGGTAATCTGAGACTTCGATTGGCTCTGATCTTTTAAAGATACTTGCTCAGATGTACTTGGATTTACTTTCATCTTAAATGATACCCTTTGTACATTGGTGTCAGTGGTTCTTTGATCTATCTGACTCTTTTCAAGTTACTAAGTGTTAATCAGCATTTCAACACTTAGAATAATCTGCTTATAAATGTCTGGCCCTTGTACACTCTTAAATAGGATTTTGAACATGCTGCACACCAAAAAAATTTTTAAGCTTAAAGCAACACTAAGTAATTATAGAGTCACACTGACTTTTAAAAATAACATTGTTGTAAAGACTGACTGACCACCTACACTGTTGTCACTATAAGCAGCTACACGACCAAATGTCAGAGAACTTGAGTAGAGTTGTTCACTATCTGATGAAAACAGGTGTAGATCGCAATTATTAACAAAAACATATATTATGTTCATACAAGTCATACAGTAAAGGTAAATCTGCCTTTTTTATTTGCTTTCTAAGATGATTCAGCCTCTCTATGTCATAGAGTGGCAGGCTAAAATCAATCACTCTAAAGTCACAATAGCAATAGTAACAGAGGTTAGCACATATGTTACCTACATGTCCAATAACAAAAGTACCAGATCTGCATCAGTTTTGCAAAAAAAGGCCTTGCCTAATTCACTTTTCTACAATCACTGACCCAGTCTGATTCTCGTTATCTCTTTCTTTTCTCTTCTGACAAAGAAAAATGGCTCTACCATGATATAAACCTCCAAAATAAAATAAAAAATGCTCTATAATCAGCGCAGCTTGAGGCGTGTGGCTATTGAGGCCTTAAAACTGTTCATCTTACTGCGAGAAGGAGAACAAAGCTATGAGACTGCCAAAAGGTTTTTGGCACTGAAACAAACTTGCAAGTAAGTTCTTTTCAAGCAGAACCAGTAGGGGGGAGAAAGACTGCTCAGTTGTCTCAAAACACAACCCGGAGGATATATTAAGGTTTAAGTATTACTTAGTGCTGCTTAAAAGTTAGATCCTGTAGTTCCAAACACTGGCACAGCTTCTTTCAGATGGACTCTATTAAACACTGTGAAAACTAGGGATGGGGATCGAAACCCGGTTCCATCAAGGACCCGGTTCCACTTTTTTCAAAACCCGAAAATCAATAACGTTTGGGCTTATCGATACCACTATCGAGTCTGGTCGTTTTTTTTTTTTTTCTCCCGGAGGTCCTGTAATATAATTGTGTGTTCCTCGAGTCGCGTCACAGCATTTGAATCTAATCAATCCAATCACTGCAGCATGTCCACCAATGTTTTGGAATGAAATTGTAAGCAAACAGATATTAAAAGTAAAACAAGTGAAGTCTGGGACTTAACTTTGCTCGCGACTCGAGAATGGCTGAACGGAAAAGACTCCTCCCCGCCGCACCACAGTGGGGCCCGTCTCCATCATCCACTCAGAGTACCACTGAATAAGCGCGCACACAGACTTTGTAGCTTGTCCGGTCAGTTAAAAATAGTAATTGTGAAATCCGTCTTGTAATCGGCAGCATACAAGCTAGTTAGCTTGAAAAGTAAATAAAGTTTCAGACGTGCTGCATGAGATGTGTTCAGATTGGCTCAGTAAAACGAAAATTAGGTTATCATGATGCGTTCAAGTGTAACGTAAAGAAAACGGGAAATTTTGTTTTTGGCGAGAAATATGAGTAATACAGTTGTATATTGCTCTATATATAATTAAACTACTGATGCCAACATTTATTAAAAGTTACATTTAATTTAAAATACAATTATTTATTTGTTAAATATTTTCCTAATCACTAAAAACATGATGAAAAGTGACAGTAGACAATACATTAACCAACAATTGTGAAAATATATTCTAGTTAGTTTTATGTCATTTCGAAGTGGCCTATTACATTAGCCATGTTTAATGAAGGCTAGAAACGTTTTTGTTATGCTCACTTGTTAAGCAATAAAAGCAATACCAGTTCTGTTAAAAAAATATTGTTGCATCGTCTTTCCACCAAATAACAGAAAAGTATCGATAGTGGTATCGATAGAGACCCGGATCGATAAGGAGTATCGATAAAGTTATCGATATCAATAAATATTAACGATCCCCATCCCTAGTGAAAACTACAAAAATAAATAAAAAAGCTTTAGAACTTTATTTACAAAAGAACTTGGAGTGAAAAAAAAACACAGGCTTTACCAAATAATTACCTCATGGCCGCCTCCAACTTCGGATATCC